TGTGGCTTGGAGTACTTAACATATTCCAGGTTGCAGTTCAGTTTTTCCCAGTAGCCCTTAAAGCTATGCACCTGTAAGAGACAGAAACACCAGCAAGCTTGAGAGGCTGGACCTGTTGGCAAAACTACCCAGAAAGAAACACACAAGACTTGCTCCAGAACTGGGCTCACCTTACTTCCTCAGCTCTTTCCAGGTGAATACCTCCCTCGGAGGATGGCATTCCCACCCCGACAGGAATTCTAAAATAGACTGAAAGAGTCTTGCTTTCCCCACTTTCTTTTCTACCCACTTTACAGAGAGAGAGCCACTGTTCACGTCCCGAAACTGGTATGACTCCCCCGGGTTAAGGCAAAAGCAGGTCAGCCTGTATTAAACACCTAAGTTATTTCCTCCCCAAAGACTCACTTTTCTAATTTAGGTTGTATCAATAATGCCATGTTCAGTCAGAGAATGTTCATAAGATTTAGAGCACATGGAATAATAGGCTTACTTTCCCTCTAAGCTTATTTACTTCTAAAGGATTTTGTTCAAAACCTAGGAATCAGAAAAGTGAAGTGAACTTCACTTTTAGTTTCATGTTCAGCTGTCAAATACCCTAGAACAAAATAGTTGACATCTTAAGTCTTTGACTTATTGATATAATTGTACTACCCTGAAGCAAGAATGTATCCATCATGTTCATTTTTAAATTAATAAATTATATAATACCTTGTTTAATGTTGAAGGATATACTGATAATTTTTTTTACTTCAATAAAGGTAGATTTATGATACACACTTTATTGCCAAAAATATGCATTTATAAAAGATTTGACTGGGGGCAAGGATGCTATGTGTGGCCATAAAATAAAGTGAGCTAATGCCTACTGAGGTAACAGACTTGGCTTTGTTGCAAAAAAAAAAGAGAGACAGAGAGAGAGAGAAAATATATAATAAAATATTCCTCAATCAAGAAAATTGTCCTTGTTAAATAATACATTATCCAAATTCTTATTGAAAGGCTAGTCACGATTGGTTCAAAATGGATTTTGGAGTATCACTAAAATAAGTTACATAATAATGTTAACTTGCTGTTTTAGAAGCCTGAAAGGCCAGTCCAGCCAAAATCCTTTCTCATGAAGACAGGAAAAACTATTTCTAAGAAAATATAGGGGGGAATTAGAACGCTGGAGTCAGGTCATACTCCCCGCTTGATCTACCTCTCTCACGTTTTTTTTTCCCTTTCCATTTATTTATACTGAATGTACCTTTATCTGCCCTTTGGTATTCCTTGCATAGAAATAATAATAATAAATAATAATAATAATAATAATAATAATAATAATAAAAGCAAATCCTGCCACCATTAGGCAGTATTAGGTCCCTGACAAGAGGTCACTATAGCTTCTTGCTAGTCTACCTCTGGGTTCAGGCACGCTGCTGCCAAAAGCCAGAAAACTCACTGGTGTTGTGATGACATCTAGTGGTCAGTTCAGCTATTAGCGCTGCCTACTTTGCCACAGGAGTTTTACCCTGTGGTCAGCAGAACCCTGCCCAGGACGAGATGTGGGAGGGGAGGAATGCTGGTGTCCTTCTACCTGTCATAGGGCCTCTTCCCCTCAGGCCAAATGCCATCTGCCTCTCAAAGGACCCGAGTCACACACTCACACTGTGGCTCTTAAGAAGAGATTTCTCCCAAACTTCCTACCTTCTCCTCGCTCCCCCATTTAAAGATCTCTTTTCTTATACCCTTTTCTCAGCTGCGAATAAACAAACAAAATAAGTCCATGAACAAGCTTCAAAAGGGCTCACGAATGCACTGACTATATGTAAAATGGAGTGTGTGTTTGTATAACACTCTTCTGGGAAGGTCTATAGTTTGCACCAGATTTTCAAAGGAATCCATAGGCTAAAATAGTTCAAAACCACTGAGTTCGAAGGAAAAGGATATAAGTTTAATGCAATAAGAAACACCATTAGCCAAAAGTCCTAGAAATATTTTAATATAAACTTATAGGTCTTTTAAGGAGGTGACTGGGCCGGATGTTATACTATAGGTATCAAGAATGTACAGAGAAAAACAATTAGTGCCATATGTTACTACATGGTATCTTTTTAAGTTATGAAAATTCATAGAGATCATTGTAAATTGGAAAGTCTATTTGGAAGTCTGGTTAATAGATAAGTCCCAGAGGATGAAAATGGATTTGAGTAAGTAAAGGACAAGGACAGGATGTTCCAGGTGGGGCTCTTGGGAAGTAAGCAAAGACTGAGAGACCCATATGTGGATTCTGGGTTTAGACAAGAGGGAGAGAATTAGAGAAAGCAGAGAAAACAACCAGCAGCACTTCATTCTCTATGATGAAAATATCTGCCTCTAGAATTGACTCCAAGCTTCAGCAACCTCCTGGGTCCCATCCCTTAGAGATTTAACTGGTTTGGGGTATGACCTGAGCCTCCTGAGACTTATAAATTCCCAGGCAACCCTAATGATCAACCAAGGCTGAGAACACTGCTTGAGCATGTCCAGGTAATCCCAGTCCCCCTCCCATTCTCAAACATTTTTCTCAATCTACACCTCTGGTTTAAAGGCTGATGGAGAACCAGCTGTCTGAAGCCGTGCGATCATGTTGTTAAATAGGAGACAGCATTAAAGAGGGAGTTAGGGCCAATCTGTGAAGGATCTCAAATGCCAAGTTAATACCAGTATGTTCATTAATCCAGAGAATAAAAGAAGCTCTAAGATAAAAATTTAGATGTTGCAACACAGTATGGGGGGAAGAGGGGTTTATAGCCCAAATTTATAAAGAACTCATACAACTCAACACTAAAAAAACAAATAATCCAATTAAAAAATGGACAGAGGACCTAAATAGGTATTTCTCCAAGGAGGACATACAGATGGCCAATAGACATTTGAAAAGATGCTCAATGTCACTAATCATCAGAGAAATGCAAATTAAAAACCACAATGAGATATCACCTCATACCTGTCAGAATGTCTATCATCAATAAGTCAACAAAAAAGTGCAGGCAAGGATGTGGAGAAAAGAGAACTCTCGTGTGCTGTTGATGAAATTGCAAATTGTTGCAGTCACTATGACAAACTGTTTGGAGTTTTCTCAAAAAATTAAAAACAGAACTACCTTATGACCCAGGAATTGCATTTCTGGGTATTTATCCTGAGAAAACCAAAACACTAATTCAAGAAGATATATGCAACCCTATGTTCACTGCAGCACTATTTACAATAGCCAAGATATGAAAGCAACCTAACTGGCCATCAATAGACGACAGGATAAAGAATTGGATGTACATGTATACAATGGAATATTATTCAGCCATTAAAAAAAATGAAATCTTAGCATTTGCAATGACATGGATGGACCTAGAGTATATTATGCTGAGTGAAATAAGTCAAACAGAGACAAATACCATATGATATCACTTACACACGGAATCTAAAGAACAAAATAAATAAAATGGAAACAGACTCATAGATACAGAGAACTGGTGACTGCCAGATGGGAGGTGAGTTGCAGAACTGGGTGAAAAAAGGGAAGGGATTAAGAAGTACAATTGGTAGTTACAAAATAGTCGCAAAAATGTAAAGTATAGAATAGAGAATATGGTCAATATATTGTAATAACAATGTATAGTGCAAGGTGAGGACTAATCAGGGAATCGCTTCTTAAATTATATAAATGTCTTACCACTATTCTGTATACCTGAAACTAATATAATATTAAATGTCAATTCTAATTAAACAAACAAACAAAAAGAGCAGCACAGCACAGTAGCTGGTAGGAGAGAAACAAAAACTAGAATCCTTGATCCTGGGTCTGTTCCTCAATTTCAACATCCGAGAAGTATACTGAAGGCATCCGTCTCGATAGATAAGACAAGAATGACTTTACCGGCCTGGTACTCTGTTTCTAATAAGTAATGTTTCTTTGTAGCATCATAAAATTATGTTTTACAATATTAATTAAATTCGCCATAACTCATTGTCCCAGAATATATGCTGTGTAGGAAAAACTCTTATTTTTTCTGAACAACCGTCTATGTACAGAATACTTCACTTCTGGTCACCAAATGTATCAGATTTTTCCCCAACATCCATCAATTCTCCAACATCAGCTGGGTGTCCTACAAATTAATTTAATTCTGACACTCTCTGCCTAGAGATAGTGTTAGATGCCACAGGTTAAGGGCTCAGCCCCACAAAATTTGTCCTTCTCTTCAGATGCCAATGGCAAGTCCAGGTTGTCATCTGTGCTTCTGACTGACCATCTATAAATCGAAGATTTCCAGAACCCCCTCCATGGGTTCAGTAATTCGTTAGAGTCGTTCTTAACTCAGAAAACCAGTTTACTTATTATAAAAAGTTGCAACTCAGGAACAGCCAAAAGGGAGAGATGCATAGGGCAAGGCATGGGGAAAGAGGCTCAGAGCTTCCATGCCCTCTCCAGGTGCACCACCCAACCCATACCCCACAATTTCATCCAACCCAGAAGCTCTCCAAACCCCTTAAGTTAGGGTTCTTTACAGGGGCTCCATTACTTAGGCATGATTGATTAAATCATTGGCTACTAGTGAATGAACTCAATATCTAGCCAGTCTTGCCTCAGGAGATGGAGAATGGGGGTGGGGCTGAAAGTTCCAACCCTCTAATCACATGCTTGGTTCTTGAGGCCACAGTCTCCACAGTTAGGTACTTTCCAAAAGTCACCTCATTAACATAAACTCAGGTGTGGATTGAAAGGGGCTTGTTATAAATAATAACAGACATTCTTCTCACCTTTGTACTTAGGAGCTATTTCAGGAACTGGGAACAAACACTAAATATTATAACAAAAGATGTTTCTATAGCCTTTATCACTTAGAAAATAAAAAGGATTTTAGGAGTTCTGTGCCAGGAACTATGGATGAAGACCAAATAGATATTTCTAGTTATAACACAATATCACATACGTACAAACTGAACTTTGGAAAATCAATTAATATTTCCTACATAACCTATTGAGATTTCTGGTATGCTACATAGTTGTCAGAGCAACAATTCTAATTTTTAAAAAATTGTCATCTATTACACTGTGATTGCATTGATATTTTGGATCTCTAAAAATCTTTTATTTAAGTGATGGTGGCTGGCTGTATTGGAAGGGTCAAGGAAAAGGTGTCTTTTGTGTTTCGCTAAGTAATTAATTATACTCATGCTCTGCCCAGTTAAAACAGTTTTTTAAAAAAATTTTAAGTGAAGAAGCATAATTAAATAAACAAGTATCTAAGAAGACCAGCCCAAGTGTCAACTACTCATTTCCCATTGTTCAGGGGCATTTAGATGCCTGATGGATACCTGTAGTAACACCTTCACTTCTGAGAGGCCATAAGTGGGGAGGGGCTTTAAGTCTTTCTGGCCTTCCCAATCTCTGGGTCAGGTAGTTAATAATCTCTAAACAAATGATTAACTAAAAGACTTCCTACTTTATAAAATGAAACTAAAGATGTCTGGCTTAAAAATACTTCAGTAAAAATATTACATTTCTCCATTTGTGGTACACTCATTCAACTTTTATCTTTATGTTCAAGTAAGTTATTGTTTCTATTTTTGTAAATCCATACATGCTTCCTGTGCTTGGACAGTTTTAATAGTTTCTCTTCTCACTATAAAATCAAGGGTAATTTTTAACCGTTTATAAAAGTTGCCACTTCCCTAGAGAAAACCATGTTTGAAGAAGGGACAAAATCATTCTTAGGAAGTTCCCTCTTGATGACATTCCTTTTGAGGTGAGAACCTTGTTTAAATATATTTCCTGTTTCATTTTTCAAATTCTTGTGGAAGTCATTTTCTAAAGTTAAGGTCTTTTGTCTTTCAGGTGACAATCTTCTAATTTAACTAGTTTATGTATCCTAACATGTTCATATATTAAACATTTGTAAAGTATTCCGTTTTACACTAAAATTATTTGCAGAGAGCAGGAAGAAAGTCCATATCTAGTTCTATTTTCCCTTCCCTCTCCCAAGTCCTTATCAGGGCTGTCATCTACCAAGGGGAATGAAAGCAAGTGTGATCAGAATACACAGGGGTCTCCTGGGCCTCATGGAAAGTCTGGCAGCAAGCATGCATTCGAAAGGTAACCTGATTCAGGTCATAGTGCTCAGAGCCAACTCCTATCAGGTAAGCATGGCAAGACAGTCTTTTAACTGGGGCTGGGAAAGAAGAGCAGAGGGTGGGATGTGCCACGGCAAACAGGTTTGTCACAATATAATTAAGCTGGGACTTGGGGGTAGAAGAAATAGGTCAAAGGCAGAAGCTTATAGTGATGGGTATTATGCTAGCAGAGATGAAGAAACAAATGAGAGATATCAAGACCAGGTGTCATGTGAACTGGAAGGTAATGGTTAGAGTCTCCCAGGCTGAATGACTAGGGTTGGAGTAGGGGAGCTCACCATTTTATACTTAATTTTATAAAATTTATTAAGATTTTATTTAAATCATAAATCTCTTGTAATAATGTAAATGATGACAACTTTTTTGAATATCAATTTGGCAATAAGAAACAAAGGCTATAAAAATTGTCATAGTCTTTCGCTCAATAGTATTCATGTGGATTTTACCTTATAGGAATAAATCCAAAGGAAAGCTATCAGTATAAAAATATTCACTGCAAAATTATTTGTAATAGCAATTTAAAAAAAAAAGGATGGGGCCTGGAGACAAATTCTGTGTCCCAAAACAGAAGAATGATTATGTAAATTAAGACATAGCAACCCAGTAGAATCCATGAAGTTATTAGTAATCATAATTATGAAGTTTACATAGCAACATGAAAATGGTTATGATATATTATAATTTGTAATTGTTATTAAATACCTCTAAATTGTTGTTACTACTAGATAAAAATGCATACTTACGACAAAGACTAAGGGGAAATAGGGAGAAATAGACAGTTTATATGGACAGGAGCTATAGAATTGTGGGTGACATTTGTTTCTTTTTAAAATTTTCTTCACTAGTTTGTTGTTTGTCCATTAAATACATTATGGATTTGGCAGGATGAGTGGTAGAAGCAGAAACAATATAATGAAAGGATGGAGGCTCTCAATAAGAACCTTTTAAACTATTAATCAAATCTCTCTTTTCCTTTCATCTTCCTACCTTTGTAGAGCTTTTCAGTGGTCTCATGCTTCTACCTAGAAATGCCCCTTGTAAGTTTCTCCTTAAAGCAGCCTTCTTAGGACCCAAACCAGAACCATTAAACCAGCCCTGTCAGCCCTCTCTCACCCCCAGGGCATCACTGTGACCTCAGACACCCACGACATTCCCCCAGCTGCCTAGGCCCGGCTAGATCCTTTGTGAATCCAAAAGAATCAAATGTAAATAAAAGGCAACAGCACACCGAGCTGCCTGCTGCCAAAGGTTGAGATTTCCCAGTACACACCAAACTATAATTAACAGGAGGCAATGCCAAAAACAACAAAGGAGCTTTAAGAAAACTGTGCTAAAATACTCCCCCATTTTAAACTACATATGCATTCTTTTCTACTCACCCGCCCCACCCCATTCTCCCTATTCAGAAGCTTCTGAAACCACCAGATTGCAGAAAGACACTAACAGCTACTGCTTAGTGGGCAGGAAGAAGGGATACAGACACTTGACTGAGACCACATACAGAGCCAGTGCAGGACACTCTTGAGAAACAGAAAAGCTGTTCTTAGAACCAAAAGGAAATTAAATAATCCCACCCAGATTAATTAATGGTTTTAAGATTCTGTGTCTGTGTGCACGTGTGTGCACATAGGTGCACTTGAATGTTTTGAGGGGGCGATAGCATAAATGAAGTGAAAAACAGCTACCAGGCCCTCTAAAGATAACTTTTGAGAACTCTTCCAATACGAGCTAGTTTGAGGCACAGTAGAAAGTACTAGCTCTACATGGTTTACACTGAGCCCTATAATTCCCTATCTTCAGAAAACTTCTCTCTTCAAAGAGCATTCCTAAGAATTGCCAAAATATCTTCCTTAGCAACTACTCAATCACTTAGGAAGGATTTTCTAGAGCAGGAGTCCCCAAACACTGGGCCACAGACCTGTACTGTGGCCTGTTAGGACCGGGGCCACACAGCAGGAGGTAAGCGGCAGGACAACGAGTGAAGCTTCATCTATATTTGCAGCCGCTCTCCAGCACTGGCATCACCACCTCAGCTCCACCTCAGATCATCAGGCATTAGATTCTCAGAGGAGCACCAGTCCCTGGTGCCCAAAAGGTTGGGGACCGCTGTTCAGGAGAACAGCCCTACCCCTAACCCCTGTCCTCCCTGACAGTTCACAATCCCTTTTGGAACCACCATAATACGCAGGGCAGCAGAAGTTTAACCACTGTCAAGTGTGGAGGCAGCAAGGAAGGCACACAAGTCTGTGCTTTTGCCTCTAACTGTAAGGGACTTACCTTCATTAGAGGCAATGTGATCTCTTCCGTCGCAAGGGTTATCCCAGGAATTTCCTATGATGGGAGAAAAACAGACAGACATACAACTGCTAAATGTATCAACTGCCACAAGCTCAAGGCTTCAGGAAGTGTTTTCCGCACAGAAAGCAGCTGAGGGCAGCTTCCAGTTTGCTAACCTCTACTTTAAATAAACCTTGGGGTTTATAAATAACAGTAAACACAGTCTGTCTCTTGTCTCAGGAAGGGGAATATTCTTTAAAGTTATGATTATGTTAGTTGGCAGTATCTCTAAAGGAAAGAAGACTAATGAAGAAATAGAGAACGGTATATTGTTTATTTCCATTTGCACCATCAGTGTAATAATAAAGGGAATATATTCCATTTTTGCATTCCTTCCTCTTCTCTTTCATTTAAATGTACTGCAGTAACTCCCACTTTACTAGAAGAAACCAAGATTAACGGGATTCTTATATGACTTTAGTGGAAATTTTTTCTGTACTTCATCCTCCATCATAATTCAGAGCTAAGAGATCCCCATAAAGAGTATATGCAGCACTATCACCATGACAAATGTAAAGGATATGCAATTCATCTCAGGAAGTCCCAATAATAACATTCTGCTAGTTAGTGAGCATTAAAACAGACATTTAAAAGGATAAATTTCCAAAACTGCCCTTTATTCACTGTTATTTTTAAAGTGTTTCTACATGAATTATGTATATTAGCCTCTCAACGAGTTTTTCATTTACTAAAAAAGCAAATAATATATGAGAAAATAGTTTAGAAGATGATATGTAGAAATAAAATTTTATATTTGTTTTGAACTTAAATACCCAGGGTTTTACTGACATACAGTATTCCTGTGAAAAGGGAGATTGCAGCAAGGAAGAAATAAATTTCCAGAACATCCGAACAACTGAGTTCTCCACTGTGAGAGTAAAAAGCCTGATAAGAATCCTCTGTGTGCTTCACTTATCACTGCTCAGCAGCAGAGGATACTTCAAAAAAGTATTAAAATTTCACTATAGTTTTAGGTTATAAATAGCATCTTAAAATAGGTATTACAACTCACACAGCTACTGTTATGACAACTGCAATAAACTTGTTTTGTGAAAGAAAATAGTTATAACAAAGCTAATTGTTTGCATAGTATAATTCAGGATTATCAATGTGTAAGCATACCATATTTTCTAGTATCTTGAATTTGTAAGCATATCATACTTTCTAGTATCTTGAAATAACACTATTTATTTACAAAAATAAACTGCCTTCATACGGAGGTGTGAAATTAATGTTCTCTATTGTGACAAGTGTTTATTAAGGGTGTAGCATTAAGAGCATTCACAGATTAGAGAAAGGAAAAATAAATAATTTACATCATTGCATAAGCATAGATTTATAAAATTCCAGGATTAGAAGAGACCTTTAAGGTAACCTCCAACCACAAGAACTTTAAAGCAACTTGGTAATCCCTAAAATAAGCTTAGTACACAGAAGTTATAAATTTGTTTTTTTTTATATTGTCCTTCTTGTAGGATGTCACTCTATATGTCCACAATAGCTCCTCTGCCTCACAAAGTTAGGAGAAATGCAAAAGTGAAGATTTGCCTGTCAGGCTGACACTCTCACACAACATCCAATTAACACGTACTGGCTCTTTTAAACACAACCCTGGGAACTAGAGATCCTGTCGCTGCCTCCCAGAAACTGAACCTGACAGGGCAGGACAATGAGAGAGAGCAGTGGGTGGTGAGGAGAGGAAGCTGAGATGTGCATTTCCTGACCCTGGGTGGTTTAACCTGCAAACTTCCTGCCACATTACCACAGCGTCTGCATGTATATTCACAAGGTTCTTAAAGAAAACAGTGAAGACATGAAGAAGGAACAAGCTCAGGGCTTCCCATTATAATTCTACAGTTAAGCATGAAATTTTAATAAGTCTAACAGTAAAAGACAAGAGGAAAGGGCCTTTAGGAAAACATTACCGTTGTGCATACCAAAAATTTAGAAATTAATCAAACACAAATGATGCCTCTTCTTAAGGAATGTATTTAGTCTAATAGAAAATGAGAAGTGTCACAATTTATCCTAGTACATATTTTTCCCTAGGCCCATGTTACCTAAATTGAATTTATTTTTCTAAATGCCTTTTTGATATGAACTTCCGCTTCAAGACTAAGTGTAGTTCTAACATCTAAATATGACAGGAGAAGAGGCAGAACCTTTTTTAGGGGATGCCTGTATGTGCTTTTCACTTTTTGATCCAACAAAGCTCAGCTTATTGTACCATGTTCAAAAAAATATGTACACAGTTTTAGCTCGGCACTTCCTAATGAAAAAGGAGGGAGTCTGGCCCAACAGGAAGAAAAAGTTAAATAGAATGAGTTTGCTCAAGATGACTGACTTTTACTGATCATAAAGCTCTAAAGATATTACAGATTTTCTTTGTAAGGCTAGAAAAAGGGGTCACGAAGGTGCTAATCTACTAAGTAAAGAGAACCACTCAGATTAACAGCAGTGGCCCAGCATTCCTCACTTATAACACCCTAAGAAATGTTTTAATCCACTCTATGTGCTAATAAAATTAAAATACTATTTGAAGATAATAGAGGATTATTTCTGCTTGGTAGTAGGAAAAGTAACAAAAATTCTGTACCTTCTCCTTCAGTTCTGTTTTATATAAATACCTTTGGCCAAGAGCATGGATTCACTATTATTTTTCTTCCAGAAAACACCAACTCAATTTCTTATCAGTCAAAATCTAAATGAAATCACAACGTTGGTCACTGTGACAGGGATGTCCTACAACTGACCCACAACTGTGAGTCAATTTTAATTACATAAGGAATACGAAGCATTAACTTACTGCATTCCAAGTGAGCACAGAGGAACATGGCAAAAGTTTGTCTATGTCACTTGTCTCTGAGTATATGCTCCAATATGAAGAAGCTGAATAGGTTTTTGAAAGAAAAGGAATAGACATGGTTTAATAACAAGGCAGTAGACGGTAATTTGCCAGAACAAGTAAATCAACAGGTTTCCATCCTCTAAATGTTAACCATTATGTTTTATCTACTTATTACAATGTTAAGGTTCTGCTTTTGACAATGAGAATAATTATTTTTTAAGATTATTTAACACATATCTATCCAAATGGCATTATAACACTTCAATAAGAACCAGCCAACACAAAACTAAACTAAGAAAGTTACATTTTACTGAAAAAAAAATCACTAATGAGGTTAGAGAATCAAAATCATATCATATCTCATCAGTCTCTGAACAGCCACAGCTCTTCATAAAACCACAAGAGAATGAAATTTAATTAGCTGCTGAATGCAAGAGTTAAAAAAAAAAGCTTCTCACCAGCACTTTGACATGTTGAAACATCAATTTACTATTTTCCCTCAAGTAAAAGGGTCAAGGATTCAACTTAACATGTAACACCAGCAACACCTACCAATTATAAATTCCTGAATGAGGTCAAATGAATGGCAGGCAGAGACATTCTCAGAAATCCATTGAATAATCTTTAAAAAGTAAGAAGACAACTCTGTTAATATTTAAATCTGCACCTTGGTCCCACCACCATAGAAGTATAAAATATACATGAATCTTTTAAATTCTATATTTATTTTGGAATTGTCTAAAAATACACTCACTTCTATCTATGCTATCTTCAAGATACATAATGCAAGACTGCATGCATAAAATGGTATTATAAATGAGGTCCTTTTTACACATCTTTTTAATAAGTGCCCTTGGTGGGATCCAAATAAGCCTTCCTCAACCCAATGTTTGTGTTTGCTACAGGAGGTCATATTCTAGCAAAGTACCAATGGGAAGAGCTATGGAATACAGGAGAAAAAAAATCCACTATGCTTGGAGACAGCAAACCTGGGTCTGAATTCTAGCTCAATAATAAGTGCAAACACTGTCACACTATTTAAATTTCATGAGCATCACTGTACTGTCCTCCCAAGGGAGAGATAATCCCTGAGATATATCAACAGCTCTAAGTCACCAAAACCATCCTCACCTGCTGGAGGAATAAAGCCCCTCATTCCCTACCTTAGAATTGATGGGTACTATAAGGCTTGCCTAGCCATGAGTATACTCTCACATTTCTGCTCCTACCAATAAGTTGTTTTTATTTCCAAACCTCTTCATGCTAACTGTGCTTATTTTCATAATTAGGTAATTTAATAAACTATTACCTTAGACAAGTAAAATATGGGTACAAAAAGAGTGCTGTTGGGTCAATAAAATTATATGCTTTGGAAAGACTCAAAGGCATGTCTCTAAAACACTTACTAAAAAACTAGGTGTAAGTGAGACAACTATAAAAGATTGAGAAAAAACTGCCCTATATACACAAATTGCTTTGAAATTATTGATCTCCTTAGGAAAAAAGTAACAAGAAATCAGAGACAACACATTACTAGTGGTTTTATGTAAGAAAAATAATTTTGAACTTCAATTAGCTGATATACAAATAAAGGGCCTTAATTTACATCAGAAGATGGGTGAATAAGTGTACATTTATATGTTTTAGGTTAAAATAAAGTATTTAAGATATCTTTTTTCAATTAACCAACCATCCCAATTAAGTCTAATAAAGGGGTTTCTCTGACTTCACAGGATAGCTATAAAATTAAATGACAAAGTATGTAAAAGTGCTTTGTAAACTATAATGTGCAATTTAAATGCAAACTCTTTATTGAAAATGTAATAAATATATACCACCAGATTTTAGTCTATTTGACGATATACACCAAATATAGAGAAAGTGAAAAAGATATTTGAGAAACTCATTATTTACTGAGTACTTCCTTAGACTACTGATATACCTAAATATTTATTCACGACATGGAAAAGAGTAGTCAAGGGAACAGATATACCCTCACCATAAAAAAGGAGCACAAGAGAAGAATATATTCCAGTAAGGATAGAGACCATAACCTCAATTAACTGTTAACAAATAAAAATAACCTCTGTTCATTTTCAACCATTAAAAAAATACATTTGATACTGTCTACTTGCCAATTTTTAAACGTAAGCTATGTTCTCACCTTGGCTTCCAGGAACTGTGGGTCTTGACCACATGAGAGCACACAGTGCAACACGGCTATCTTCTCACAGTCTAGCCGGGTGTTCCACAGGAACTGCAATAAATAGGACTGGTTGAGGAATGCTCTATAGAGCTTTCCAGAACACCAATTCAGTACCAGGGACCCTGAGAGTGACTGCAAAGGACTATGAGGTAGCATATCAATCACTTCATTGTTTCCTGGGGGGGAAAAAAGATGTAGATTAGCAAATAAAAGGACTCCTCTTCCAACCGAACATTAAAGTCAAAAGAAACCCAAATGAAAAAAAATAAAATAAAAAAGGAAAGGAGGGAGGGAGGGAGGGAGGGAAGGAGGGAGGAAGGAAGGAAAAGAGAGAAGGAGAGAGGGGGGAAAAAACCCAAATGGACCATGTTCACAAGAAAAAAACTACAGCTGTACCTGTCAAAAACAGACTGTGGCAGATCAGGTCTGGATGTTGAATGTTGAGTAGATGAAAGAAATGACCAGGTAAGTAAACAGCCACATAATAGTCTATAGAAGAGAAAGGTTTAAGTCATCTGCATGCGGTAAGAGTTGTACAGGTACAGATAAAGCCCAGAACTTCACATTATCCCTGTTTTTTTTTTTTTTTGAATCTTTTAAAACACAAAAGTTTGACCAATGTAATAATCATCTGTCTGATATCAGTACATTTCATCTTACTAGCCATATCTCATTTATTTCTATCTGTGGCTAATTTTCTTCAGACATTTAACCATGATTACCTTAATTTAATCTGTAGTTTTGTTTCTAAGTGAACTGTGGCTTTTTATGAATCTCAATGGTCCTAAGAGCAAATTAGAATAAAAATATTAAGCAATGTAAATTATTCTATAATCTGATAGACCGGGAATAGCTTATAATGAGAACTTCCTTCATAGTTCCTGCCAGTTTCGGGCAGCTCTAAAATTTAGTTTCCTATGTTTGTCCACTCATCATCATCACCATAGTAACAGTATAGTTGTCATCATTATTGTCCTCATCACCATCGTTTTGTGTAGAGAAACCTTAAATGGATATTCATCAAAACAACCTCTGCAGGCATTATGACACTTATGAAGTACTAATTTATTTTTTTGCATAGCTAGCTGCCTAGAATTCACACCTTCACAGTCCCTGCACTAGATATTTTTGTATCAAGAACATTTGTACACAGATTGAGCCAAGGTTTAAAAATAGATTTCTGGAGAAGGGGAGGGTAGAAGTACCAATAATTTTTCTAGGACTTTAGGAAAACAAATTCACATGATAGTAGTGAATTTCATTTGATGAAACATTTAGATTATAAGTGAGCCAGCTGGAATCTTATTTTTCTAAGAAGCAAAGAAGTATATGCTAATCATTTGCATAGAAGGCATTTTGTGCATAGGAAAGGAAAGAGGACATAAAACTCTAACCGGTTTACTTATAAATGTCCTTTCAGTCACCGTGGATTAAGCGATGTTAAAGTACTTAGCAATAATATAACATAATTATGACAAACCTTAAGTATAAAAACACAATAAGAGGGCAGTTGTTCCCAATCTTTTTGGGACCAGGAATCTCATTAGATCCTATGAGAATCTAATACCTGATGACCTAAGATGGAACTCAGGTCGTGATGCTAGCGCTGAGGAACAGCTGCAAATACAGATGAAGCTTTGCTTGGGTTGCCAGTTCATCTCCTGCTGTGTGGCTGGGTTCCTAACAGGCTATGGACCAGTAGTGGTCTGCAGCCCAGGGGTTGGGCATCTCTGAAATAGGGCACAGTGGTAAGTGTTTGGGCATCAAATGACCTAGGTTAACCAGCTAATTAGGATGGTACTATATCCCTGGAAGAGGGGCCTATGGATATACAGAAGGTGTTTGGGGTTGTCACAATCATTGGGGCACACGGAGGATTCCTACTATCATTTGGTGAGAGAGCTCCCAGGATGTTAAATCCCTCAGTGTTCAGGACTGTCACCCAAAGAATTATTGTCTCACCAAAAATGACAGGGAGAATATCCTGATTATCCAGGGCACCAATGTTTTTAGAAGAGGGAGATTTGACTACAGAAGACCATATGACAAAAGAGACTGGAGTGATGTGGTCACAAGGCAAGAAAGGCCAGCCTCTAGATGCAGGAGGGGGCAAGGAAAGCATTCTTCCCTAGAATCTCCAGAAAGAACCATTTCTGCCCACATGTTGACTTTAGCTCCTCAAGATTCATTTCAGAATTCTGACGTCCAGAACCATAAGAGAATGTTTGCATTGTTTTAAGTCCTAAATTTATAGTGAATCATTACAGCAGCAATAAGAAATATAGTGCCCCTGATAAGAGAAACTAAAAGAAGCTTGAACACACATCTCAGCCTTTCTGAGCCTCAGTTTCATTATCTGAAAAATGTGGAGATCATCACCAAACAGAATTGTTGTAACATAACTTAAGTAAAACAGTTAACATACGAATATAGTATTCATTTTTAAAATGGTAGCTTTTTATTTATAAACATATCTTTCTCACATAGAGGTGCTTGGGGGTTAATAGAAATTTCAAAAAAAACCCTCTATTCTTTAATATTTTAATCAATATAAGCCCATTTTAAAAGGATGATAATTGAGGGAAATTGCACATAATTAATAGCAAAAAATACATGACTCAAAAAAACAATATTGTCATAAAAATTACCTCTAGAACAGGTTTAATTGGGTACAATTTTGTGCCTACAAAGTAAAGTGTGTTTAAGAAGGAAAGGATAGCTTATTTTCACAAAGCTCTAGTATTTCTGCCCTCTTCGCATTTTGAAGGTCAAAGATTAAATCATGCCTGCCCTTTTAAAGAATCATTCCCAGGGGTTAAAAAAAAAAAGGAAAGATACCTTTGACCTCACAAAATGCTAATTTTTTTTTTTTTTAGTGGAAAGTTTCCCACATCATTCTTGAGGTGGGAGGCTGATATAGCATTGCTGATAAGAATCAAGTCCCAGACCCAAGAAATCTTGTATTTACCTCTCTTAACACAGTAAGCAATTGCATCAGGCCTCTCTAAGGGAATTTCCCAGTTTTAGAGCTCATGATAAAATTTGCCACATACTGGCCCACTTAGCATAAAATATCTCGCCTCACTAATAGTATCATTCAAAATAAAAATCTTATCATTTTGGTTCTCACTTTACCCAGTTCCCTCACATCACACCTGCCTAACCTTTTCCTTTTTAAATATCATGCCATGTCCCATATGTGGGCAAGCAACAGTTCTGTGGGTTAGTCTTGTGCTAATCTCTTTGTGCCCCACATCTCAATTAGCATGGAAAAGCTGCTTTCAGTAGAGAAGTACAATAAACTCCTTTTATTATTTTCTTCCATATAGACTTCCTTAATACTGCTCAAGTTCTCTTTACTATATTTACTCAGTGAAAAAAAAACTCACTCAAGCTGATCCATAAATCATCTGTGGGACTGGGAAGTTTTCAGCAATTAGCAACAGGGAATAAACAAGTTCCCAAATGCCTTTGACCTCTCTAGAATCAAAGGCCAACATGATGTATTATTTCTCATAGGCTTTTAGAGAACATCTCATTCACTGTCATCATTTTTATACTAACAAATGACTTTTAGGATTGTTACTAAAAACATAAGAAAGTTCACAGTGTAGGTTCTCTAAAAAGAGAGATGCATTCCTCCCTCTACCCCACCTCCCAAAAAAGCTGATGGAGTTGTGTGGGGGAGAAGGGTAAGGTTATTCCCAGAGAAATCTTCTCCTATCAGGTTTCAAAAAAGTCAGTGACCCAAGTTACAAAGAGGCATAAAAAAATGGAGTTCACAGAGAAGAAAATGAGATATTAAAGGCTGAGGCATAACATGTAATGGAAGGAAGGATCAGAACAGATAGATGCTTCTCCTTCACACTCACCAAGGTTGAGAAAAGTAATGCCCTTTGTCACATGTGAGTCAGCACTCCCAAGAGCAGCAGTGAAGGTCTTGCTGTGCCCTGCGGAGACAGAAGCCATGAACATGAAGCCAGAGAAAGCATGTAAAGAAACAAAGAGCTGAAATTCTACCCAAAGTAGCGACTCTGTGTAATATCCTCAACATTTACTACATTTACTACCTGTGAAACTGATAAAGCAAGCATCTATAACTTCTAGATTTCATGGTTCCCTGTCATTATCCAAAAGCCAGCATTGAAGGCAGATGACCTGAGTGTAGTCACATTCCAGTAATTGTTCTGGGCTTATGTGTAATCTTAGACTTTAACAGGTAGGTTATGCTGGGAAGGAAGAATCCAAAGGAATCTACTTAAAGATCCAAGATATGGAGGAGACCAGGTGGCTCACTGGTCCTCATGCCTCAAGGCTCACTGCTGAAGTCATTAAGACCCTCTGAGACTTCTCTGAGTCACTTAGAAATGTCACTTTGAGTTAAAAAGAGTATCAGACTATCTACTAAATTCAGTGCATTAGGCTTCACTCTCCACTTTTCTAATTCTTAATGTTCAGAAAAGTTTTATTTATTGGTTTTAATCATTAATCATTAGAAAATTGTGTGAAGACTTTTCCACAAAATATCAAATTTATACTATTAAAGCATCTATGTATGTCCAGTTTGAAGTTCCTATTAGTTTCTTCATTATTGAATAAATTATTAAACTTTTTTACCATGATCTCTGACTTCCGAAAAAAATATTAGGCACTCTCACAGAATAATAATTCTGGTGTGGGCTGGCATAAAATTTTTCCCATTTTGAAAAAAAAAATCTACCTTTAAAAATTTTTCACTCTATCCACAGTATGGACTACATAAATATTAATTTTAAGAAATTAAACAAGCAAAATAAATACTCTTTAGCATGAGTCAGACTTTAAATATTAAAAGGCACCTGTTAAATTCTGAGATCAGGGAAGCTTTAAACTAAAACCTTATGTACCTTTGTATGTTAAATCTGTTGATAATTTCCAAGTAGTACTAATAAAAAAGAAACACACTTTGGGCAAATAAGTTCATTACGATTGGTTTACAGGCCTAGAAAAAGATATAGGTCAGGATAAAAAATATATAATATATAAAAATACTTAGCTAACAATATTCATCACTAGTGAATTTTTTTAAGAAACGTGTTTATATAGGTTTACAGGTATAGATTTATTTATTGCAAGGTAATAATACTTTAAAATCTGCCAAATTTGCTACTATTTGGGAAAAGTGATTATGTAAAAATAAAACACAAAATAAATGAAACATACCTTTATGAAAGTAAAACACTGTATACATAATTTGTTCCCACGAGTCAAACTTTGGGCTATAACATACACACAAACTTCCTACAAGAAAGAAGGTATTTAGTAGAGCTTAGTAGAATCATAGACAAAAAAAGTTTCCCAAATCACTTAACTTTACTTCCATTCTTTTAGATGCCCTGCCTCAATTTACCTCATAGATTATTCCTAATTTCTAGAACTAGTATATTAACAAGTAGCTAAGAAATTTCAATTCAATAATTATTCAGCACACACTATAAGCAATGTATTGTGGTAGGCTACTGAAGGGTAGAAAAAGGAATGGAGACACGCTCCTGTGTAGGAAATCATGAGAGACTAGAGAAGTGTCCAAAGCTTCATGAGATTCTCCTAACATACATGCACTGCCCTGCCCTCTTATCTTGTGTGCCTTCCAGTAATCACTAATAGCTATAGACCCTAGTTTATCAAAAGTGTATTTCTCCTTTACAGAAAGTTTCTAGTCTTGTTTATCTAGATTGAAAGGCAAACTGGATAATCTTACGGGCGATAAGAGCAAATGTGGTGTGTGAGCCCCCATACCCACCATATTTGGATTACTTAAGGGCCTTGGCCCAAGGGCAAAGAAGAGCTCCTGGCATAGAGTAGCCTTTCCAGATGAACCCTGACCACCTTCACTTAACCTATATCTCCAGAATACCCTCAGCTTTCCTACCTCCTTCAATATATAAAACTGTACATCATCTCCAGCAACTGTTGCTATATGGACAACTATGTCCATCAATGACCTACAAATGAGGGCATTATGCTGACACTGATATTTCATTCTAATGCTATTGTTTATGTGATTAACTGAAATAAGAGATTTCCCTGGTGGAAAGGAACTTGACAAGGAGTCTAGAAACTGGGTTCTAGTCCCCAAGCTAATATTATACTAGCTGTGTGAATTAAATCATTACTCTACTTCAGTGAATCACAATATTTCCTCCATCATACTTCACTAGTTTCTTTATCAAAGAATCACAGTAGCGGGGGCTTAGGGGGGGAGCTCATTTCTCCTAAGAAGGCTGTTTAAGATTATTAGCATTCTTTATATATTTATCATTTGTAACTATTTTTAATGACATTTAAGAGTGCAATATACTGTTAGAAGTACATTTTATTGCAAGATCTTAAACACAAAATAAACAAAAAATGACTTTATCAGATAAAAATAGTAAATTATGTTAGATAAAATTACTGTTATGGCTACTGAGCACACAATAATATAAATTTTCTTTAAAATTACAGCACACTCACTAAAATTAAAAGTAAAGCTATACTAAAGCATAAATAAAAATAATAATTATATGAGTTACAAACGTCTCACATAGCACTTTGACAACTTTCATATAGTAAACATACTACCAGCAAAAAAAATGGCTGGTTTATCCTATTCTTTCATAGTCCATAATCGCAAGAAGAAATACATTTTTAGCCAACATAATTAAAACTTCAGGCTCTCTAATAATAAAAAAATAAAAATTAAAACAAGGCACCATATTTCTCCTTTCAAATTAGCAAAGTTTTAAAAATGATAATTCAGTCAAGGGAGCAGTAGGAAGAACATTCTCAAATAACAGCAGTGAAAGAGTGAACTAATACAAACTCTCTAAAAAGCAGTTTTTCAGGGCATTAAATATAGTCATACCTGTTGACTTAGTAATAATTCATTTAGGAATGTACCCTAAGGAATAAACATATAATGTCAACAATATAAGAAAGACCACAACCTCCATTCTAGGAAAATCCTCCACACTCCATCCTTTAGAGAATGAAGGTTATTGTTTTACTTGCTTTGAAGAAAGTTAAAGTGAGATGTAGAAACCAAGTCCCAGTCAAGATGGTGGGCTAGGTAAAAACAGGGTTCACCTCCTCTCAGGACCACATTAAATTACAACCAAATTATAAAACAAACAACTTAGAGAACCATCTGAAATCTAGCTGATCATAACACATGTATCTGAAGATATAAAGAAAAAGCCACATTGAGACTGGTAGGAGAGGAAGAGGCAATGCGAAGTAGGCTTGTACGGCAACCATGCATGTCGCTTGAACACCAGGAGGGAGAGTGCAGGAGGGAGAAACCCCCTTGAAGGAATGAGGGGCCCTAGCCCCACACAGGGGCTCCAAAGCTCAGGATTCCAGTCCCAGAAAGAGGAATTCCCACAAAATCTGACTATAAAAATCAATGGAGATTCTGGCCATCTGGGTGAGACAGAAAGAACCTGAAAACACAGACGTCTCCCTTAAAGGTCCTGCGCACAGACATTCACCCTGGATACTGGCGGAGGGTCAGCAGCTCAGGAGGCGCAAGAGATACACAGGGAAAGACCGAGTTGTGTGGCATCTGAGCGAGGGCTGGAGAGACAGCAGCTATTGCTCCTTTGTAGCACCCCCACCCCAGCCAGACTACAGGTGGGTGCCATCTGGCCTGCATTGAACTCTCTCCCCACAGGGCCAACTCTGTGTTGGCCTGGTGAGATCCATTAACTCCACCTCATGTCTCCCTGAGACCCGGCCCTACTCAACCCACAAATTGCCCATGGCAGGCCTGTTGCCAGGCAGCCAGCCCTTCTCTGCACCTTCCCTGAGCCATGCATTCATGGGCAGGCAGCAGCACTCAGCTCACACCACCTGCACATGGCCCACACATTATAGGGAAGACTTTTGGCAGCAGATGAGTTCGGTAAGGACTACATTAAAGAGTAAGTATAAAAAAGGGACACAAAAACCATTTTAAAAAGTCAGAAGTGAAGAATATAACTGAAATAAAGAATACACTAGAAGGAATCAACAGCAGATTATATGAAGCAGAGGATTGAATTAGTGAGTTGAATTAGAGAATTGGAAGACAAGGTATCAGAAAGCACCCAATAAGAACAGAAAAAAATAAAGAATAAAAAAATGAGGATATTTTAAGAGACATCTAGGACAACATCAAATGTACCAACATCTGCATCATAGGGGTACCAGAAGGAGAGAGGAAAGGATTGAGAACTATTTGAAGAAATAATGACAGAAAACTTCTCTAACCTGGTAAAGAAAATAGATATACAAGTGCAGGAGGTGCAAAGAACCCCAAAAAAGAGGAACCCAAACAGACCCACGCCGAGACACATCATCATTAAAATGCCAAAGGTTAAAGACAGAGAATCTTAAAAGCAGTAAAGGACAAGCAACTATTACTTACAAGGGTACTCCTATAAGAATATTAGTTGATTTCTCGACAGAAACATTGCAGGCCAGAAGGAATTGGCATGAAATACTCAAAGTGATTAAAAACAAGAACCTATAATTAAGACTACTCTACCCAGCAAAACTATCAATTAAAATTGAAGGTGAGATAAAGAGCTTCCCAGACAGGAAAAGACTAAAATAATTCATCACCAACAAGCCAGAATTCAGGAAATGTTAAAGGGACTTCTATAAAAAGAAGTGGGAGGGAGGAGGGGAAACAAAATACAAATAATAAAATGGCGATAGCTATGTATCTATCAGTAATTACTTTAAATGTAAATGAATAAAATACTCCAATCAAAAGACATAGGATAAGTGAATGAATAAGAAAACAAGATGCCTACATATACTGTCTACAAGAGACCCCCTTCAGATCAAATAACACACAGAGACTAAAGATAAAGGGATGGAAAAAGATATTCCATGCAAAGGAAATGAAAAAAGAGCTGGGGTAGCAATACTTATATCAGACAAAATAGACTTTTTTTTCAAAATAGACTTTAAAACAAAGGCTATAAGAGGCAAAGAAGAGCATTAAATAATGATAAAGGGATCGATACAACAAGACTACATAACCCTCGTAAATATACATGCACCCAACATAGGAGCACCTACGCATATAAAGCAAGTATTGACTGACATAAAGGGAAAGATTGACAATAATATACTCATTGTAGGAGACTTTTAACACCCCATTGACACCCATGGACAGATCTTTCAGGCAAAAACAACAACAACAAGGAAACAGCAACCTTAAATGACACACTAGATCAGTTGAATTTAATTGATATTTTCAGAACATTTCACCTCAGATTTTCTGTTTCTTCTTGACTCGGTCTTGGGAGATTATGTTTCTAGGAATGTATCCATTTCTTTCTGATTGTCCAATTTATTGATATATAATTTCTCATAGTATTTTCTTATAACCTTTTGTATTTCTGTGGGGTCCGTAGTTACTTCTCCCTTTCTATTTCTGATTTTATTTATTTGGGTCCTCTTCCTTTTTTTTTTCTTAGTGAATCTAGTTAAAGGTTTATCAGTTTTGTTTATCCTTTCAAAGAATCAGCTCTTGATTTTTTATATTGTTTTTCTAGACTCTATTTTGTTTATTTCCACTCTGTCTTTATTATTTCCTTCCTTCTCCTCACTTTGGGTATTGTTGGCTATTCTTTTTCTAGTTCCTTTAGGGATAAGGTTAGACCATTTATTTGAGATTTTTATTGTTTCTTGAGATAGGAATGTATTGCTATGATATTCCCTCTTAGGACTGCTTTCACTGTGTTCCATAGATTTTGAGCCATTGTGTTTTCATTTTCATTTGTCTCTAGGTATCTTTTGAGTTCTCCCTTGATTTTTTCGTTAACCCATTTATTTCTTAGTAGCAATAAGTCAAAAAACAACAAATGTTGGTAAGGATGTAGAGAAAAGGGAATAGAGTGTAGAAAACAGTTTGAGGTTTCCTCAAAAAAATTAAAAATGGAACTATCTTTTGACCCAGAAATTTCACTTCTGGGTATTTATCCAAAGAAAACCAAAACTCTAGTTCATAAAGATATATGCACCCCTTGTTCACAGCAGTGCTATTCACAATAGCCAAGATATAGAAGCAAACTAAATGCCCATCAATAGAGGATTGGATAAAGAAGTGGTGGTACAGATACACAATGGAATATTACTCAGCCATAAAAAGATGAGATCTTACCATTTGCAACAACATGGATGAACCTAGAGGGTATTATGCTAAGTGAAATAAGTCAGAGAAAGATAAATATCATATGATTTCACTTATATGCAGAATCTAAGGA